TCACAGAGAAAACATCCCTGACAGAAGGATCAGTGGAAGAAAGGCATTTATGACGACAGAGACAGCAGAGAAGGCAGAACATTCTGGAAGACACACCCTATATGAGCTTTGAGAGTCAAAGTTTTAATTTAGTTTTCTTATTACTTGGGTTTATGTAAGTAGGACTTGTGTTTATTGGAACAGCATACTGGTAGAATTTTGTTCAGTTAGAGAATAGTTAGTAGTTAAGGGGGAATTGTTTGATTTGTCAGTAGTTCTGTTAATTTGTTGACTGTTAGGCTTAAATAAATAAATTGTTACTTGTTGCTTATAAAGTGAATATCAGGGATTTTCTTTCATTTAACCACTCCTTTTTAACAGATTAGGTGAAGTAGGGCAATCTTCTTTGGCTGTTTTGGGTTTAACAATTAGAAGGGGACCTCTACTCCCGCTGAAATGGACTGGGGGCTTGTGTTTCAGTTTTAATTATCAGAGGGGTTCAACCTCCCCTTCATAACAATACTTTTGCGCTATGTTTGGGTAGGATCCCTCAGACCTGTCCCAGTAATGGAAACTCTGCTTTGGAGCATCTATGATATGCTCTAATTACATGTAAAAAGCATGTGTCTCGTCATGTCTCTCTATTTTGGTTCTTTAATTTTAGACTGAACCATAAGACCATAAGACATAGGAGCAGAATTAGGCCATTTGGCCCATCGAGTCTGCTCTGCCATTTGACCATGGCTGAGAGGCATGGCCTTGGAGATATCCCTGAATTGCCTTTGAATCCATCTTATAATACAAAAATTCCCAATATTCCATTACAAACTGTGGTTGAATAAATACTTTGGTAGCTTGCACAGTTTCAGACATCCATCTTCATGGTGCACTGCTCCTGTACAGACATCCTGTGTCCATGTACTGTAGCTAGCAATTCCAGATCTTGCAAAACAACTGAGCAACAGCAATGATGAAGCAAAGATTATTGTAGCATGAAGAGATGGAGCTGGGGTTCATGCTGATTTTCACACAGAAAGCAGAGACTAATCTGTAGAGCAGAAACACTAGGTGCACATGCACCATCAAACACATGACAGGCAGTCTGCTCTGTTCACAAGATGATTTTTTTATGCAATCCAGCACATAATACTAAGTAGCCATTTGTAAGTACAGGAAATACTCGTATTTTGAATCTTTAAAATGATCTTTCTTTATGGGATCTTTTCCTTAAGTTTGAATGTTTGCCAGTCAGATGTTTGTAAGTTGGTGATCCCTGTACATTTATCCTCGACTGATGTTATCGAAAAACAACATCAATTCTTCACCAACACACTCTCTAGCTCACAACTACCTCTCCTTTGTCTCTTGTTATGATCCCTGTAGGGACGAATAACTTCAAAAAATTTGAACTTCCAGTGAATGACTCAAAGGGTCACATAAGACTTCAAATTTTAAGACTTTTGCTGCAACAAACAACCTAAAACTAATATTGGCTAAACTTATACTCCAACGTGTTTTTGCAACAGTGAAGGAGAATAATGGTGAGAGAACTGCAGATGCTGGAGTCAGAGACAATACAGTATGGAGCTGGAGGAGCACAGCAGGTCTGGCAGCATCAGAGGAGCAGGAAAGTTGACGTTTCAGGTCAGGACCCTTCTTCAGAAATGGGGAGGGGAAAGGGAACTCAGGAATAAATAGATAGAGGAAGAGTGGGGCTGGAGAAGGGAGGTGGGATGGTGATAGGTGAGTGCATGTAGGGAGTGGTGGGGATTGGTCAGTGAGGTGGGAAGAGTGGATAGCTGGAAGAGAAGATGGACAGGTTGTGTCAGGTTCAGGGAGGCGAGGATGAGAGGGGTGGTTGGACATGGCAGTGGGGAGATTTTAAAGCTGGTGAATTCCATGTTTAGGCCATCGGGCTGTAGGCCCCCCAGACAGAATATGAGGTGTTGCTCCTCCAGTTTATGGGTGGTGTCTTTGTGATACTGGAGGAGGACCAGGATGGACATGCCACCCAGGGAGTGGGAGGGGAATTAAAATTGTTTGCAACCAGAAGGTGTTGTCGTTTGTTGTGTGCAGAGCGCAGATGCTCTACAAAACAGTCTCTGAGTCTCCGTTTGGTCTCACTGATGTAGCGGAGGCCACATCGGGAGCAGTGGATGCAGTAGACCAAGTTGACAGATGTGCAGGTGAACCCCTGTCTAATGTGGAAGGTTTATTTTGTGCCTTGAATGGAGGTGAGGGGTGGAGGTGTAGGGGTAGGTATTGCACTTACTGCAGTTACAGGGAAAGGTGCCAGGGATGGTGGGTTAGTGGAGAGTGTGGAGCAGATGAGGGAGTCACAGAGAGAGAGGTCCCTATGAAAGGCAGATTGGGGTGGGGAGGGAAATATATCTTTGGTTGTGGGGTCAGATTGTAGCTGGCAGAAGTGGCAGAGAATGATACGTTGGATGTGGAGGTTGGTGGGGTGATAGGTGAGGTCAAGGGGGATTCTGTCTTTATTTTTCTTGGGGGGAGGTGATGTGAGGGCAGAAGTGCAGGAAATGCAAGAGATGCATTTGAGGGCATTTTCAATCACCTGAGGTAAGAAATTATGGTCCTTGAAATAAGAGGACATCTGGGATGTGCGGGAGTGGAACGCCCCATCTTGGAAGCAGATGTGGCGGAGGTGGAGGAATTGGGAGTAGGGGATCACATTATTACAGGAAGGAGGGTGAGAGGAGTTGTAGTCCAGGTAGCTGTGGGAGTCGGTGGGCTTGAAATAGATATCGGTTTCGAGGCGGTCACCAGAGATGGAGACAGAGAGGTCCAGGAAGGAGAGGGAGGTATCAGAAATGGTCCAGGTGAACTTGAGGTTGGGGTGAAAGGTGTTAGTAAAGTTGATGAACTGTTCAATACAGTTTGATACAATTATCAATGTAGCGGAGGAAGAGGTGGGGGTTAATGCCAATGTAGGAGAATAATGGTGTTGCTTCAAAGATAGAAAATACACCATTGGCTTCCCAGTTTTCTATCATTTTTAATATTGATCACCAAAAATTGTGCAGCTATCTTGCCACAAGTATGTATCTTAATACAGTTCCTTCTGCAAATTCAATACTGATTCAGCTTCAAACGTGTACACAATGAACATGACGTTCCTGTCACTTTAACTCTCGTTGGAATCATTAGACCCGTGCTCAGCACCCAATAGTGACATACGTAAGTTCCAGAACTCAGCAAAGAACATTGATCATGAAATCTATCAGGTCACAAAACAACAAGGACGTTTAATCTATGCTTGCTCATGTCATTCAGAAAGGAACTCTTGTCCATTCTACATTTTATCTGTGTCCACCTCTCATTCCAGTATCTATTTCCTAAGTAATTAAAGGGTTTCTGCCTTCAACATCCGACCTAAAAAATTGACATTTGTAACAATAATGTTTTGTTCAGCAAAATACCCTCCTGGAGGTAATGGGCTGCTGATGCTTAGTGTCAACATTCTAATTAATAATGACTACTTAAACGAGGTACCAGTGGAGCTAAATTTTCAGAATTCTCTGTGCTTCAGAACAGATGTCAAACATACTGGAAGAAAAAAGTCTGGGGCTTGGAAAGACTCACCACCCCATGAGGTGTGCAGGCAATTTTTTTTAAAAAGGTGAACGTTCCCATTGGCCTCCCGATCGTCAGTGTGATGGATGGGCAGAGGGTGGGGGAGGATATTGATTGCTTGGGGAGACAGGCTCCCAATGCCAGGCAGCGTACTGGAGTTCCTGGCAGGCTTGCCTTTGACTTTCTGATAAAGACCACCCGATGAAGCGAATCACCCCTTCCCAGGGTTGCCCTGTAATAGAGACCTGGCTGATGTTTTTGAACTAATGTCTTTAAAAATGGGTGGAGAGGGCACTTTTTTTTTGTTATGGTGCCCTCTCAGCCCCAATCTTTCTCCTGTACGAAGGTGCTCCTCTGAAGTTGAAAGGTCTCCAACTTCAAGAGTCGGCATACTGCCCATAATTGGATGGGATATCCATCACCTTACCAATTAAGAGTTCACCTATTTGCAAATCTTAACATCAATTAACTTGTGCCTCTGGTGAACATCTGATCAACTCTCATTGCCCACCTCCACGATGAATGTTCAATCCTCGGTATGTAGACAGGGATTTTATTAACCTTTTCTTAGTAAAGGACTATGGCAGTAAAATGGTCATGTACTTTCTTTCATTCCTGTGTTGGCATTTCATTAAAAAACATGCTGAACTCAATTCATAGACATTTTTATCAACCTGTTATGACACACCTTAGAGTGAAGTAGGACTTAAACCCAGGCTCTGTGGCCTAGAGATAGGGACACTTCCACTGCACCAAAGGACCCCTCAAAACTCAGCTTATATATTTAATAAACAACGTAATCTAGTGGGGATATTGAACATTGCCTGCTCATTAATTTGATTGTCTTTTTATTTATAAATCTTATCAATGTAAAAGCCTCTATTCATGAATGTTTAACTTACAGCTAAATGTTTTCCAGAAGTTAATCATATGATTTTTAATTAATTAAATGTGTATTTTGTTGAAATTGATACAAATATGCAGTTTTCATTTCAAATTATTGTCTTTTTCCTCTGTAGATCTCATATATGTTCATTGGCAACAAAACTGGAATTTTTAAGTGAAACCTCTTTGAAAGCACAATATTATGTTTTACCTTCCAAAAATATTTACTTGTTCTGCATTGATTTGTTAAATACAACATGCTGCTGTTTATCCATTCTATTTTATTTGCAACATTTTGATGTCTTTGCCATACATACTTCTCAACATCATTCCAAAATTAGACCACTGGAAGCTGTTTCAGTTTTCCATGGTTCCAATCTGTCTTTTCTGGAATGCTTTAGACTTTTGTCCCCTTTCATAAACACCTGAGCCTAGATCTTTCCATTTGTCAGTCCCCTACTTTTCTCTGTTTTCAATTCTGACAGGTTTTGCAATTACTAATTGCTGTTAGGGGGTCACTTGGCTGGATACCTGGTTTGCAAGCAGAGTGATGTCAGTTGTTCAAATTCTTCGCCAGTTGAGATTACCATGAAAGGATTTTCCTTCTCAACTTCTTCCCTCACCTAGAGATTCGTGACCCTCAGGTGAAACTATCAGCAGTCATCTCTCTGTAATGAGAGAGCAGCTCTATGGTCCAGGAAGACTGGCAATTTTACATTTAGCAGCTACAGAGTTCGAAATGTCAGCATAAAATAATTCCAAACTCTTGAAGATGTCAAACTGTCAGCTGGCAGAACCTTCCCTATTTTTATCTGATTATCTAAAGCATTTATTCAATGAGATTGCTTGTTTTTCTTAGCGTTGTATCAACTTATGTATTTAATTTTGTTATATAAAAAGCCATTCTGAAATAAACAGCAATTTTAATTAGATTAAGCAAATATCAGGAATAATGCCAAGGCTAACGTTCTCTCTTAAATTAAACAACAACAAGTGTCATATTTTTTCCTTTATTTATTGAGCATTTTGCATTGTCTATTCAGGACAAGTCATATGTTTTTCTCCTCACACCGTCATAGGGTTACACAGCACAGAAACTGACCCTTTGGTCCAACTTGCCCACGCCAACCGGATATCTTAAACTGACCTAGTCCAATTTGCCAGCATTTGGCCCATATCCCTCTAAACCCTTTCTAG